GCTTGCAATAGTAATAAGCTGCCTGACAGATTTGTTGCGGTTTTCGGGTAAACTTCCGATTCCTTTTAAACGAGATAAAATCTCAGAGTTCATTTTCGTGCAATGACGAACTTTTATCTGCCGTCATAACCTTATTGACATCTTTCATGGATCCACTCTACATTCTAGCCTCCTTGTTTTATGATTATAAGAGAAGGAAGCTAAGTACTCATTCTTCCCCTTTTTTGAGTGGAAAAGCAAACAACTCACCACACTGCGAAATGGTGGCCAAACAGAAAGCATGTGGCGTTGTGTCTTGCGGCAATCCTGGTAAAGGATGTGGATTTCTGGAATTTGGTGGAGTTCGTTTGCCCCTTTTCTCCTCCTCCACCCATTGTTATTGACTGTAGGTTGTTTCTACTCCCATCGGATTCAAATCGGCAAAACGGGGCAAAAGCTGCGTATCATCTCCCTGAATGGCCTCCCCTACAGTCCTCGAAATAGAAGAAGCAATCTCAGCGACCCTGATCCCCTTGGTCAGTTCGAATGGCTTGAAGCACAACTTCACTCTGCTCGGCATGAGAGCCAAAAGGTGCGTACTGTTTTGAATATCCATTTAAGCCCTCTTTCTGAAGCCATTCAGAAGTGGGCTTGTCTCACAGATCTCTAGGCTCTGCGATGCTAGATAATGCTGAAATGTAATAGGAGAGGGCTTTATGATTAACACTGGTTCTTTTAATCTTTGAGTTAGATTATTATTTGTCTGACTGCAGCGGGATGTGAGTGAGTAGGCTTTTCCTGTTGCTACCCGATTTCCTGCTCTTTAAATGGACACTTCATCTACTCATAATGCAATAGTAGTAATTGTCGTTTGCTATTTTGATGTCCCTCAAATCGTCGCAGGTCGTGATTGTGATGCATTTTCCCTTGGGGGCACCTGAGAATTCTCCCGTGAAATTTCGTCACCTTTACGGGGTCTACAATCATCGCTTGCTCAAAATCCTCACTGAATTCGCTGATGTGGTCGCCTTTGGCCTTTTCGGCCACCAGCACACGGACTCATTTCGTTTTATTTCCTCTACTTCTGAGGGTGAGTCTCGAATTTACTTCTCTTCCAAAGTATATATCTACTTTTTCAAATTTTGCATCCTTTGAAGACCTTTTTTGGCCCCTTTTTTCTGCAGATGGAACGAAGAGGAACCCCCTCATATCTCTATTCAGTACACCTTCTATCAGTCCAATGAATCTTACGAATTTGGGCGCCTTTAATCCACGCATCCGTGTTTTTAACTACTCAGTTACACCAACATCTCTCCAACTACATGACTTCCACCAATTTTACCTTAACCTCTCCAGCATTACTTCCGTCGCGGAGGCCCCATGGAGTCTTGAATATAGTGCCACCAAAGCCTACAACATTTCCGATTTATCAGCTCGAAGCTTGGAGGCCTTAATGTCACGTCTAGAAATTAATCAAACTCTGTGGTGCGCCTACTGGGACCACGAATTGGGAGGCCTTAATCATTCCTCTGGCCCGTGTCCGGAACTTCGCTCGTCTAGACACTGTCGACATCTATGCACGATGCGAAACCTGCACTATACTGCCCTGGATAACTGTCTTCGTGGCTGTGGTGATGCTTCGTCCCTCGTCTCTGCACGCCCGGGTGCAGATCAAGCGGATAGCTGGAACGCATTGCCTGTAGTGGCATTGGTAATTGTTGCCTTCCTCGCTATCCTCTTCGGAGTCGTTTTGTTGGCAAACCGAGAGATATGTCGGAGGAGTGGAAGAAGGGGCGATCGAAGGGGACGTAGGCGAAGGGAGAGGGGGGGAGGACATACACGGGGAGGTTATCTCATCACTTACCACCATGCAGCACCGAATGTCGGGATATCTGGCGCGAGGAGGTCTGCAGGCGAGGTGGATTTAGAGGAAGAGAAAGCGTTGAATGCTGATGTAGAAGATGGAGCTTACGACGCAGATGCTAGTGGTGATGAAGAGGAGGATGTGAGGTTAATGGATGATCTCGTCAAGCTTTCAACTTCTGGAAGGAGTGGAGAAGGAGGTGGAGAGACGTACTTCTCGGTTTACAGCTCTCTGGAACGTCTGTGTCAGAATCAGCATGATCAATTCGATGTCGGCATGGAGGGTGATCGACCTGGTGCAAACAGTGGTCCACTTTGAGAAGACGCTAGTAACTTTTGGCTGCATTTCCTCATCATCTCCCCACCATTTTAAGTCTTTCGTCTCCTGCCTACTTCGCTCACTCTAATGCGTAATAAATGTGAAATACACTCTTAGTTTGTTTTAACGGTTGGGCGAACAGTGAAGAGACCTGCAACTTCGTCTCCGAGTCATCACTCTGCGCGATCTTCACCGTCGCTTTAAACCGCAAGTTGGCATCTTACCTCCCCTGCTCAGGTGATCATGCGCGTTTTTCATTAGCATGATATTCTCTCATGAATGGATGGGTTGGTGAGGTATGCGGCTCGTGGATCCTAAACCGTGCCTCAAGATGCAGCCACTCTGGGCTTTAGGAGTACTATAAGTTTTTGTAAAGTAGATCTGAAAGTGGAAGTTTAGCTAGGCTGGTTGCAGGAGTTCCAGGTAATGCATTTAGCAGGTTTTTTGTAAGAAATCAGTCCTGTGCAGGGCGTTTTGTCAGGCGAATCTAGCGTTAATTAACGCAGGGAACGCCCTCTAAACGCTCTTTTTCTCCAATGTGTGATCTTGCAAAATCATGTGAAACTAGAGCATGGTTCTGAAATTGTGCAAGTTTAATCAAGAAAGTTGGCGTGAAGTAATGTTACTCTGAATAACCAGGCGAGCCCATCTGGGGTCGCAGAAATGCGGGTCGTTTCAGGTCAAGAGTATTTCCGCTTTTGAAAACAATTTGGGTGCTTTCTAGAAGCTGGCGACT